TCGCTATTGGAATCACTACACAGGAAAAAGTCTGCGTTGTTATCACACTCGTTATTACTATTAGTACTTGTCCAAGGACGCCACATTTTAAACAAATAACAAAAATTTTAAGTAATTATAACTTCACCAATATAGAATTTCAACACTCAAATCGCGATCAGTTCCTGAACTGAACATGGACGACACAACGGCGGTACTCATCGCTACATTCTGTTGGTCACCGTAACATGACTTCAAATTTAATTTTATGACTCTTCAGCCAATCATAAAATTCGATTAGTAAAAATTATCCAATACGAACCGCCAATTCTTCAGTCCACGTGGACTAATTCGTTGCGGCATAATTCCTTTGTATTGGTTTTTTCGGCCTTTGACTTCGCCGAGACCTTTAAGATTACTATATCGGTTACTTCGACTATACTGGTACTTTATTTTTCAATTTCGATTAATTTTGAATATATAAATGAAACAAATTTTTTTCTAGAAAAATATATTTCAACAAAAAACAAAAAAAAACAAAACGACCGGGCAGTGACGCCACCCAAGGAACATCACTGTGCATTTAATATCTAATGAGATGCAGGAATGGATCATCGAATCTGTACGCTTTGACACTGTCGACAGGAGCTGATCAGCGCCTGATTGTACGCTTCTATTTGTATGGTACAGCTCATCACGTTGATTTGCCTTTGGACGGCCGAAGTGGCCTTTTCTAATAGAAGGTCTCTATCACAGTATTCATCTGAAAAACAAGAGATAAATAAATCATAATTTATTGAACTTCTAAGGAAAAACTATTGAATATGAAAAAAAAACCCTGTTGAGTGTATAAACTAGTTGCCAACAAAATTCATAGATTGCACGCGGTACTGTTTACTCAAGAGTGGGGCTGCGGGCACGAAAATAGTGACGGCCGAGCGATGGGAAGTGCGGGGCGATGAGGAGAAGTATCCCGCACGAAACGTCACTGCTCGTTTTGTGTCGATGTTGTAAGCGGCGTTCCCACGAGGCGTTAATCATGACAGTTAACCACGCTAGTCAACTTTCGTTCGTGACACTCACGAAAGTGTGAATTTATGAAACGTTCACACGGTTGGGGGGTTCGTGCCGTTCACGCCTCGCGTTTCAACTAGTCACCATCGAAACATCGATCATGAATGAACTAGTTGTTGAAAGTTGTGCTGTTCTAAGTTCGTTTTTTGCTACTATCTTAGCAAAAAAGATGGAGTGCTTACAGGACACAATTACAAGAAAACGAAAAAAAAGACGTTTTTGGGTTAGAGAATGGATACAGCGAAGAAATATGTTAGGAGCGTCAAACTTGGTTAGTATGGAACTAAAAAGCAATTTTTCAGAAGAACAGTTAGTAAAAACAACGCATTATTCGTACTAATTTAAATTTAAATTAATACTCGTATGTCGTTTTTAAACTATTTAAAATTATTTTTCATAAATAAACGATATATATTTTTATAAAAAAAAGGTAATTACCAGATTCGATTGTGTGGGTCGCTGTTGAACAAACGGACGAATGAAACTGTTCATCAGATCAAACCAAAATACTTTTGGCTTGTATATGTCATCTGTACCTTTTCCAGACCTTGCACTGTCTGATATTTTTTTTAACTCCTGACAGAAAGAGCTTCTTAAATTTTTGAATTTTGCTACAACTTCTTTTGGTCCAAATCCAGGAATATTTAATTCATGACTTATTCTCTTAACTGCGGCAGCTCGTAAATCTCTATCACGGTATTCCTCCAAACTTGGATCATATAACACCTTTTCCATCGAATATAACTCCAAAAAACGCGTAGTTTCACTGTCGTTAAACTTAATAATGCCACGTTGCTGTGACGACATCTTGGCTTCACGAACGGTATATCACGACTGAAAATCAAACAGGTTTGATCTATCCACGCTTGAGTCGTGCGCCGTTCCTCACGAAAGCAAGCTTAACGACTATGCGTTCACACAGAAGTGTATTTCACGAAAGCGTGGTTCACTGTCGTGATTAACGCCTCGTGGGAACGCCGCTGTATGCATGTCCGCCGTCGCCTCGCCATGTCTCGGCCGTCGCTATTTTCTTGCCCATAGCCTAAGAGTGACGTGTTTATATTTTTCAGATATGTAAAAACACATTTTTACTATAATCAAAATGAGAAATTATTCTAAAATTAAACAAAATTCCTATAAGACAAATGTCTTATTCCGAAACTTCGAAGTTCGCCATTGAGGATGATAGTTTAAGTGAAATTTTATACTACCTTCAAAAGTTTTGTACGTTTTATTGTCATGTGTTTTTGTAGCTTCACATCTCGATAAATATTAATTCTAATTTGTCTTGGTATGTACTGATCGATAGAGAAGTTTGTACTCTATACATTGATGCTGTTAATTTTTTTTAATTTCAATTTTTCGCTAATTGTCAGCTCAAAACCGTCGACTTCTGCTGCACTCAACACACGTTTTCTACTTACCTACAGCCAAATGCACGGCCGCAACGTTCTTTCCTGGCGATAACGACCAAATATGCAGGCTGTGGATATGCTTTACGGCCGCGATCTTCAGTAACTCCGCCCTTAACTTCCACGTGTTGATCGGACTGCCCTCTATAAGGAACCACAGAGAGTCCTTGGCGACTCTGATTGTCGTGCAGACAACGAGCGCGGAAAAGATGAGCGTGCATATTGGATCGGCTATCTGCGCATCCGGGCAAAACTTGACGATAAGTGCGGCGGCGAGAACACCGATACTCTGCAGCAAGTCGCCAAGTACGTGGATGGCGGCCGCGCGGACGTTTATATTATTGGAAGCAACGTGGGCGTGTGGGGCGTGGCCGTGGGCGTGGCAGACGCCGTGCAGGATTCCTCCCATTCTGAAAAAAGGGTAAAACTAGTTAGCGACTTGAAGTTGGCTGGTCGTTAACTTCTTCTTTTACTCATTTCGGAGCCCTAGGCTACAGCATACGTAAAAATTGTTACCTATGCTGTGCCTAGGCCACGAAGAAAAAAAATTCCTAGGCCCTAGTAACTAGATGAGGAATTATTTATAAAATAATGTAGATTACACTCGCTGTCAGATTTATTGCGAACTTTCAAATGAATATCTAATTGTAACAAGTTTATTCAAACGTTTAACAGTTACGTTGTACTAAAACTACGAAAGAAATTTCGAACATAAAGCTGCTGATATCTGACATCAAACGGGGCTCATCCACGGTACTTACATTGGCAACATTGTTAGTCGATCCAACATGAACGAAAAATGTCTACAATACCGATACCCGACAGATATGTCAAAGTCAAAAGTCAAAACAAAAACGTCAAGGTAGCAGGATAACTTCCTTTTCTCAACTCTGTATATTTTCTTCAATATTATTGAATCTCTGGCGATCGGTGTGCGAAAAAATGCAACGGAACCGGAATCGGGGCTTCCGAGGCAACAATTCGAATCGAGGAATGAACAATAAGGACAGCAGGAATCCGTGGAAATCAAACTTTAACGATGGTCTAGCGAACGGCCGCGGACGATCTAACGTAAGCCCCTGGATTTCCGATACGTTCAATTCCAACAACGCTCAGACCAGTTCCAACATTCCCTCCCTGATGTCGGTGTTCATCGATCAGAATATGTTGAACCGAGATGAATTTGGGGGCAACCGACACGCAAATAATATCGATGAAAGTTTCTCGAACCAGAATCGCCCCCGTTTGAACTTCATCCCTCCAGAAAGGAACGACGACGAAGGCTACTACTGGCAGGTAATTCTCTAAAGCTGGAGTTATAGATTAACGTAATGTTAGACCTACATCAATGCGAAGCAAAAGGTTATCCAAAACAAGAAAACTTTCAACTTGTGTTGATAATAATAAATAGATTGTTAAAATATAGTAGGTGTGAGATTAAAAAGCAGTGATAAAATTGGAATTAGTAACTGTCAGTTTTTGAAAAATGGAATTCCGAGCTCTGATTGGTTGTTCATAAGGAAAATACCGCAGGAGATGGAGTGGCATTTATAAATAAAAGCATGTTGATCTTACACTTTTTATAGAACGGATTGTATTCATGTTGCTTAATCTATAAATCAAGCTTAACAAATCGTAAGAAATTCGATCAAAAGTTTTCAGTGGAAATTTTTTTGCATGAGCGTATGTGTCATCTCATATAAACCTATAATATCTATATGAATTAGACTTTGTACAACATACAACTTAAAGAATGGTGCTTGAATCCAGCATAAAATATTTGAAGCATGACAAGGTTGATGGTAGCTAATTTACTATGCTTGAGAATATAAACCAAATTGTTATTTGCACTAAAGGCGATTATTATATGAAGCATGACAATCCTATTGATCCAGTAATTGTATACTTTCAACAAAAGAAATTAATATTATTATCATTATTATTACAGCACAGCAGCCAAAGTGATAACGAACCTTTTCATCAAAAGTATGACTTTGAAGACAACCACCGGGGTAACTTTAGAAGACAGTTGGACCGAAGCACTCCCTATGACAGACCTACAAGAGAGAGACAGCAGCGCCCTAGCAGATGGGAACATCCCGAGGAACATACACGTAAAGAACGAGGTAGGTTGTGTAGTTGAATTTTCAAAATTACCTGTGAAGATGAATTGGAGACATGTCATGTCAGTTGATGATACATCAAGTGGTTTTCTTAAACATCTACTTACTGTTTTTGATGAAGCTTTTTCGTTACTGAACATTAAAGATGAAAAAAACTGACGAAAGGCTCAAAAGTACCTAAATTATATCATGAAATGTTACTCAAATCTTGCTTTGCTTCCTTGAGATTGGTATTAAGAATGCTATGAATAGTTATTATGACAACGGATCATCAAAAGATGAAAAAAAACGGATTTTTGTCGTGGAAAAATTTTAATGAGTTGAGAGAAAAAAAGCAATTCTTTTCATATCGATGGTGGACTGGACTATTTTCAATGTTCTGTAGCCAAAAAATTAGCAGAAAGAAAATCTCTGAAGTAAACTCAATCCATTATTTAAAGCATACAGCCATTACAAATTCTCTCAATTACTAACCCACCTCCGAAAATGAAATAAATAGAATAATTATGGAGATGGAAAAATAAAAACTCTTCAGGATGGGATGATATTTCACACAAAACAAAGTTGTGTCTTATCGATGCCAGATCCCAGATGTGCATTTAGAAAATATACCAATTGATAATGTATCCAGCTCTGAATTCCTTTGCATGTTCATTGATGTTTGAGTTTGTTTTGTCATTAAAAATTATTCTACATAATAATAATAATGGATTTTATTGACAATAAAGCATTTTTCATTCTGATTCACGCAGAACCTGATCTAGAACAGGAGTTGCTATCACCTCTGGAGGTGAGAGTGGAAAAATTGATGGACGCCGTGAAGTCCCAACCACACGGAATCGGAGAACTCGTGCTGCTGCAGAACAACAATGAGATACCGCCCGTCCTGCTCCACAACGCCGCGCATCAGGTAAAGAACTGTGTCCTTGCGATAGACAGGGACGAGAGTACGGGTTATTCCAAACTGCTCCTGAACGGGTTCTCCGTAGTGGAGGGGATGTACTCGTCGAAGAAAGACGCAAAAGAAGCCCTGTACGAAATGGGGCTAGAGGTTCTGAAAGACAAGTGCTTCTTCATCACGTCCAAGTGCCATTTCGAGGAAGTGTCCATGGAGGCTTTGGCGAAGCAGAAAGAAGAGGAACTGGCACCTGCTATGGGTCTGGAAGGCAGCAAGGCTCATCAGATGATGCTGAAGATGGGGTGGGGAGGAAAGGGATTGGGTACGCAGGAACAAGGTAGGTAGATGTACTCTTTCTTAACTATATCACCTGATAGCGGCTTAACAATCAAGGCTCAAGTAATTAGATGACTCACTTCAGAAGCATTCACTTATCGAATGTCTCTGTAAAAAATTCTCGACCCACCTTGGTTGAAACAATAAAAAAACCATTCTGGTGCCAAACTGAACTCTGAGGGACACCATATCCCCATTCTGTGATAGTTTTTCATATGTTTCAACAAACCGTTTTTTACCACTAATATAGGATTCGAACCAGTTAAGACACAGACTTCTAAAGCCATAGCGATCAAGTTTTTGCAAAAGTATTTCATGATTCACTTAATCAAAGGCCTTGATAAGATCACATAATTCAGCAAATGGATCTCCCCCATAGTTGAGTTGGTGTAACCATATTCAAAGAAATCAAAGTGAATGAATGAGTTACTTTATTTGTGTTTGCCTAATAAATTCCCATTCCAGAAACTTCTACGAGTAGATCACACTGTATAATTGAATCCCGCTGACGTTTTCTAGGTGAGCAGAAGACCGTGGCAGACAAAATAGTCGAGAACATCACCAGAGAGGGTCTCGGTTCGCAGAATGTCATGCAGGAAGTGCAGAAGATCCTCTACGACTATGCTCGATCTAATAAAACAACTACTCTAGGCTTTGACTCCGGATTTACTAAAGAAGAGCGAGCTCAAATCCATGCAATAGCAGCCAAGTACCACCTCAGGTCGAAAAGCGAAGGCGGGTTCAACACGAGGCGGATAACAGTCAGCAAAAAGAAGGTATTTTTGTTTATCCATTAGCAAGTAGAGCTGATTAGAGTTTTGCAACGAATCACAATGCCCCATCTCAAAAATGGAATTTTGCAGATATGTCGGTGGCTTTTATTATTTTGATAAATGATGCACCAACAAAATGTAACTTCTTGTTGAATAATGATTGTCTACACCAAGGATTTTGATGATATATGTTGATCAAAACTGTGTTCCAATCTGACAATTGGTAAATTATTGTTAAAGTAATAAAGCATAGATTTGTTTTTATAAAATGAACAACAATCAAATTATAGATCAAAATGATTTTGCTACTGGTAGCACTGAAAGTAATCCGAAAATTCTTGGGAATTATATACATGTTTCAAAAAACAACAAAAGGCTAAGATATTCACCTTGTGGTACACCCAAAATTTACGACCCCGCTAGCTGAATCACAGAGATATTCACTTTTAAATGGCAATACCTAGGCCTGGCAACTTCAGTGATTGTTTTATCACAGAAAAATTTCAGCAATATAATTTGAATGTTACTCGCGTATCACAATCGTAGATAAATGCTTTTTTTCACCTCTGTTATACCTACCTGAATCTGTAGTGGTGAAGCTTCCTCAGTAGTGTGTCATAATGATCAGAATTGAAATTCAGGTTCTACAAATTAAATTAGTATGTGTCTCATAGACATTATAACTATTGGACTGGACGTCTCAGTACTTTACTACCCGATTCCGTGCAGACTATATTTGAGAAAGAAAAAGATATTGGGAAAGATGAGATAAAATTGTGACTTAAATTATTGAATCTCTCACAGTCTTTTTCTTTATCTACCTCACATTTAGAAAGAAGGTCAGTCTAATAGTTGTGACAACTATGGTGTTTCTTTGTGATGATTTTAGTGTCAAATTAAAATTATACTGTATACGGCTCCATAATCTAACAGGTTGGAATTCTCCATTCAACAAATTACCACAATTGGGTAAAATATGTGGTTTTATGGTTATAAAATAAGAGATTTCAACATCCAACTTGGCAAGTACTTGAATCAAAATTCCCAACATGAAAAATTCAGTATAAGAGTGTTGAAGTCCAATGGTTGGGGTAATATCTACGTTTTGTTTACAAGATATCAATGTTAAACATTGTTTTTGTGAAAAAGAGATATGTTCAATACCAACTGTTATAATACATACGGGCCAACTAAGGTGAGTCAGTGCAGAAACGTAAAATCGTTCTGTGTTAAAAGACTGCGCCCACTTGAGTCATATTTTGCCAATGTACTATTGACATCAGTTTCTGTGACCAATATATGATTTTAAAATACACAGAGTAAATAAAGACCTAAAATTACGTACAAGAGAAACATTAATAAAAACAGGTATATATATGGCACATTTTTTTTAAAAACTACTGTCTTATTTCTAATTCATCACAGCAAAAAAATCAAGACTTTGATAACTTACGACTAGATCATTCACTTGCGTGAGGCAGCGATTGAGTGGAGACTCTGATCGGGTGTCTACATAGAAAACCCTATTGCAATTTCTTAGACTAGCACTAGGAATATGAAGATTGATCACACTGAGGAGTTTCGGTACATTTATTATCTGATTAAATATGTTGAAAATAAATAGTACATCATTCAAGCTTTGACAATCCGACAGGGTTGGCATGTCAAAATGTTCTAGTTGAGTCCTATAGGAGATCATAGAGGGAGACTCTTTTTTTTTGAAGTAGGTGTACCTAAGAAATTTCTTTTGTATTTTTTTTTATCATCTCTGAATGAAATCCTGTTTGCGGATTCCAAATTGTTGAAGCATATTCGAGCTTTGATCTGACAAAGGCATTGAATAGAACAATTCCTAGTTCCCATTTGAAATCCCTGGTGTTTCTCAACACACAACCAAGCTTTCTGTTTGCATCGCGTACAATATATTCTATGTGATTTCTGAAGTTGAAGTTACTATTAAATATGACTCCTAGATCTTTGATTTGAGCAAGTTTTTTCAGTTTGGTGCCATTTATTGAGTATTCCGTTGGAGTAATAACATTTTTTCGTGAAAAAGACATAACTTTGCATTTACCCTCATTCAGCATCAAGTTGTTCGTCTCACAAAAGATAGTGATAGAATCTAAGTCTTTCTGAAGGTTTTCACTGTCTCTTTCATTGTTGATGGTTTGGTATAGTTTGAGATCATCTGCATAGAGCAGGAATTTGGGATGTCTTATATAATCACCTATATTGTTAATGAACATTATAAATAAAAGTGGACCTAGAATTGATCCCTAAGGAACGCCAGAGGCTGGTCTGAATAGTGTCGACCTTTTTCTATTGAAAGCAACAAATTTATCTCAATCTGATAGATATTCACTAATGTTATCATTGATTGATTCATTGAGAATTTCCTTAATTTGGTGATGAGAACAACATGGTTCATTTTGTCGAATGGTTTTGTTAGGTCTTTGTAGATTACATCAACTTGTATTCCAGTATTTATCGAGAGTGCTAAGTTACTGTTGAACACATGAGATTTGTTAGTTGATTTTTTATTTACAAAACCGTGCTGTTCTCTGCAGATAGTGTCTTCAACATGGGCATATAGTCTGTTATATAAGACTCCCTCTAAGATTTTTGATAATGAAGGGAGTATTGTTAACGGCCTATAGTTTGTTATGAGATTTATGGATAGGAATTATACATCCCATTTTGAGTTGTTTTGGAAACACACTACTTTCAACAACGCTATTGGAGATCATATTCAGAGGTCTCATTAGGTTTTCCATATAACCTTTGTAAAAGTAAGATGGAATACCGTCAACTCCAGTTGATGTTTTGGGTTTCAGGGATCTAACTGCTTTACAGATATCTTGTTCGGAAATTGATGATATACATAATTCTCGCAGGTTGTTGTTCTCTAGAGAGAGATTGGTACCACCTGGAGAATCATTACTATAAACTGATTGAAAATATTCAGCAAAAGTATTAGTAATGTCTTGGTCATCAGAAATTACTTCATCTTTATATCTGAAATTATTATTTTTCCTTTATTGTCTGCCTAAGTTCAGCGTTATACCAGTGGGGGAATTTATTATTGTACTTCAAATGCTTATAGACACAGGTGTGTCTTTAGAGGCACGCCTGAAGAAGCCATTGTGTGGCATTGCGTTTTTGTAAAACTGTCCAGAGAAAATCTCACAATAAAGTGTTTTTTAAATACGATATGGATTTTCATCAAGTATCAGCCGATTTTATCAAATATTTTATGATGGGTCACCGATGATGGTGCAAACCAGAATAGTGGTCCCAATTGAGACCCTTGCGGTACCTCACTCTGCCTTATTTTTTTTTGTCTTTGCTTATTGTCACACTGCATTCTTTCAAATGAATGTTCTCTGAAATCCGGGAAATACTGTCATTTTTAATAAACGAAAAATCTATTCCAGAACAAGTGGATGCTGGTAAAGGACCTGCTGATGGTTGGAGGGGAAAACGAGTCATACTCCCTGACGATCCCTGAAGAATACCAAGACATGTGGAAGGAGTTATGCAAAGCTGACGGCGTCGAGACGTAGATATAAGAGTATTTTAATAGGATCGGATTGATCCGGAACAATTGATTCAGTGTTTCAGTTTTGCGGTAGCACCCATTCCCCCCCACCCAAAGGGATTTGGAAAAAAGTGTGGAATGTGTGTCTATGCGAATGAACTTTGTTGAATCATAGACAGAATTTCAGTTTAACAATGGTTCTATCCTCATAATCATTGTAAAAGTGAACGTTCAGGATGGAAAAAAAACTTTTCTGTAAGTTCCTGCGAGTAAATATTAGTTTTACGATCATTTTGTATATATTTATTATTGAAAATCACAGTGGACCGGTAGAAGGCACGAGTTGATACTATTTTAGGGCGGAAGTCGCACATCAAATCAGTTTTGTTCATTATACATGTGTATATATTACTAGAGGTAACTAGTTAGCCCTTTCGAAGCAGGAGCTGTAACATGAGCTGATTGGATAAATACTCTGAAAAACAATCCAGCATATTCTCATATATGTGAAAACCTTCTCATTTCCCAAAAAACTTGAAGAGCTTGTGATTGAACATTTATCAAAGAAAGAATAAAAAGTAATTTCACACTGTACGTAATGAAGATCCAAGAAACCATAAAATATTTGAAGTTGGTTGAGTTAGAAAAGATCGCGTTATTTTTTGATTATTAACACACCTTTGAGGAAAACCGAAAAATTCTGATATATCGAAAATGTTATTTGTATTCCTTTCCAACTATATTTGAAAAAATATGACGAAATGAATTCATCTTCTCCACAAAACAGTGTTCAGAGGTTTTCGGTGCAACGTTATGTGTCTATGAATTCAATTTTGATAATTTTACTTACTTTTAATACCTGTCCTAATTACCAATTTCCTCATTGAAAACTAAATCCAATAAAGGGGAACATTTCAAATCTATTTGATCTTTGATCAATTATCCCGAATTTTTACATCTACAAAAGGTTGAGTTTTGAAACTTTCTCTTCCAATTGCAATATTCGGAAATATCTGTTGAGGGAATTGATCATGAAACTGGAAAAACAAAATCTGGAATTGTCCGATATTTAGGCGAATTTTACCTGTACAAATTTAGAATTTATCAAGTGTACTTTCATAAGGACCATTGAAAAAAATACAGTGGATGGTTTCTCCAAAACTAAACGTTGCACAAATAATTTCTCAATGTTGTCCTGTAGAGAAAAAAGTTAACAATGAAGTCGGAAAAAGCAGCAGTTAGTGAAATTTTTCTGTTTTCTCAACAGCATGTTGAAAATCATTAAATTGCTTACTTTGTTTTTAAATCTGTTTATGGGAGATACTGTCGATAATATATTGATGTTATTTCTACATTCAACAATTACCACTTTCAAGATGATATGAAGAACTAGACCCCAAAAGCTGTAATTTAATAATTCAATATCAGAAATTGCTTTTTCAGATCATGAATGCTCTAACTCTTTTAAATTTAATTTGATTATTATGAAAATGTTTAAACTTTGCTTTCTTTGGATATAGATAGGTAAGGCTATTTGAGAACCAGCTATTCAAATTATTCAACAGCTGGATTACTTGAACTTACCAGGTGAGCATTTATTTTTTTCAGATACTATATCACCGACATTAAAGTTATAAGGGCCTCATTAAATTTGATTATGTAGCAGATAAAGAGAACTGTCCCAAGGATTGAGCTTTGGGGAATTCGTAAATTTATTGGCACTCTCTTGGGAATGATAATTATCATTTTGAGCTTTAATAGTAGTACTATATTGTACACATGTATACAAATGATTAAACTTGTTTATGCCGACTTTCTTCAAGATGCCCTGTGGACGAGAAACATGTTGTTCTTGCAAAATCCAGATGATTTCTGTTGTTGCTGATGATCAGTGAATTAAATTTCGTATGGGAATTTTTGTAATTCTTACATAAATACACTTTCATGTGTTTAGAGTATTGTACGATTATCTCAACTGCTTATACATGTTTGAATTATCAAACGGACAAATGCAATGCAACACGGAGATAAGGAAAAAAACCTTCGTCAACACAGTGAAAAACCTTTTTTTTTTCCCACATCGATTTGTTTCATGTGTTTCCCGACTTTCTCTCCTCATCTAATGAGTTGACATCCTTATCCAAAGTTGATCTTTGCCGAATTGTAAATACTTACCTACTTGCTGCCAGGCTAGTTTTAGGAGAAGCTCGTGCGTATTGATATCATTGAGAGTTTTTTTGTATCATTTTATTGTCGATAGGTTTGAACTAGTTTGTATGTTGTATGCTTGGTAACTGTGTGTAACATGATAGAAAATCATCAATAAATTAGAAAATCATTTGAATTTGTTTTAATATCTGCATATTTCACAAGTAGAATATGCTATATCATGAGAAAATTATTTTATTTACAAAGTATGTAAACCAAAAAAAAATACAATGATGATAATGCATTCAACATTTAAAGGGATTTATTTCTATTTCATCATTTGGCAACATCGGTTATAGCTAATAAAAGACAATGAATCTGTTACCTGTATGAGACTAACAAAAATGACATATTTCAGAGGCATGCTGTTCTGTTTACTTATGTTCCGAGTTCCGAGACATTCTGTGACATATGACATTTTGAGCACCTAACATATCTTCCTCTATATAAATAAATAACAAAACAACTGTTGTTTATGTGGCTTGTGGAGGTGGTATTGAACTATAATTTATATTTTGCCTTCATTGTTGATTAATAAAGATAATTTTCGTTTTTTAAAGTAGAATATCTAGGTACGTATAAACTATTTCAACTTGAATATCCGCGACAACGGTTATACACTTAATCTTTGTTTAGGGAAATTTTATTAAAACCCAACATTTGAAACATCAATTTGAATACTTTTCGAAGTGAATTTGTAAAACTCATGAATTAAACTCAACTTTATTTTGTTCAAACTTGCATTTGCTGTAATAACCCAAATTGAGGAACATTCCCCATTCCGTATTCTGTCCATGTAGCCTATCGTTCCAATAATATATGGAGGGGAGACTTGTCTAGAAGGAATTCTGTGGCTGCTGATGATATGGTGCTGATGGCACCCGAAATAGCTATACACAAGTCTAGTTTCTGTATACCAGAGGCTTCACCTGAGCAGTTTGCTGTACATCTTTTGGATGCCAGGCAATTGTGACAAACATCACATATATCCGATGGATTTGTTCCTGAGCTTCAAGATTTTCCATAAGTCCTTCAACGTGTTCATCAGGAAAGTCTGTCTTTGTGTAAAATATTTTCCAAGTGAGCGTTCTAGGTGAGTTTGTTATCAAGGATAATACCTAGACATGTGTGCTGCAAATGAAATAACCCAACCATTAAAGGAAAAGGAAGTTAAACCATCCAGATTCCTCTTCCTGGTGAAGGGAAGTCTCACAGTTTTGCTATATATATATACTAATTGTTGTTCAAGGAGATTGCGTATAAAGCGATCCTCTTGATGTATCCTTTCAGAATCCATGAATGCATGTAAAAAAAGTACCGATCTGAATGGCAAATATATTGAAAAACAATAAAACTGTTGGTGACCTTCAAAAATTGGATGCAGCTGGTTTCAATATATTTTCAGACTGACATCATTTTTTCTGGGGCCTAAATTAGTGTATTCACATTATACGTTACAAAAGAAAATACCTTTGACTCAAACATCGAATTTTCTATGAAGATTCTTCTTTGAAGGTATCCCAGGAACTCAATGGATATGTATACGAGGAAGGTCTGGATTTTTAAGTCATAATAAAACGTGAAATAGAAGTTATTTCAGAGAATTTGTTGAAATGCTGTGAGGGAAGTTCATTAAATTTGTTTTTTCGTTGTAGATCCTCCATGAAAAGCAAGATATTATCCACCCGAGTTTTCAGACTCGGTTTTTTAAAAGTTGAGTTTACGAAAGCTGTGAATCTAAACTATGACAAATATAACCAGATTCTCTACAGGTTCATATTTTTGATGAGAGTGTCAGTTTCAGTCACTCCTCATAAGTTATTCTAATCACCATGCACATAATATCTGAAACATTAGTACTCACATGATATTAACTGTTAATCCAAGTGAGGCAATGATGATCATTGTATTGGCATCTATTTCATAATCTTGATAGTAGATCCTATTGATGGCTAGCGTAGAGAATATAGCAGCTAACAACCAGATTGATAAGACACTGAAAGTAAAAAGTTTCATCTTTGGTAGTCCAACTCTCTAAAAGAGGTTTCAAACCATATTTATTTCCAACAAAGTCAATATTGAGATTAATACTAACTATTTAATTTGAAATCAAACTACATAGCTTCTAACAATTCTTATATTAAAATTATTTCATATATGAAAATATCGTACTCAAAATAATGCCCCAGATTAAATTTGTCAGGTGAGGCTTGTAAATAACAATTGTCATGTAGTATGACGTAAATATTATTCACACTCACTTTGAATGAATAAAATATCATTATAATAAATTATATCTTTTCAACTTACCTTAGAAGAGCACCTACAACTTCGGCCCTATAATAGCCGAACGTCATATTTCTCGACGGTGGTTTCCTCGCCACCCAAATCGCTAGTAAAGAAATCAAAAACCCTATAAAATCCGAAAACAAATGCGCAGCGTCTGTCATTATGGCCAGACTTCCAGCCAGGTAGCCTCCAACCACTTCTGCTACCTGCAAAAAAAAACACGAAAATCGAGTGTCCTTTCATCATTCGATCTGGAATAAACTCCTCACCATAAACAAAAAACAAAACGCAGCAGCCATGCAAAGTTTCTTCCACGCGCTTGTATCTTCAGTAGCGGACAAAGAATCATGGCAATGGAATTCCGTCGTCTCGACTACCGATTCTCTATAAATATCCTGAAAATATTTCCATAATCAATTATTCCAATTATATTGAGAGGTATACTCCGTAATGAATAGCGAACAAATGCTTTGTGACATCTCTGAAGTGTTCGATCATAAAATTCTTTTGCATAAATTCCAGAATTACGAGTTGAGAGAGATGATTCCAAAATTGCACCATTTGTACTTTTCAATACACAGTCAAATTGTTGAAACTTCGACTATCTCAAGTAAAGATTCAAATGATTGTGGCGAGCCTCAGGGTCCAATCTCTGGACCTATATTCCTGTCGATTTACCCTATTTGCTGATGACACCATCAATGATATTGAGGAAGTTGAAAAACAGTGTGACTCTAATCAATTGACTAAAGATCAATAGTAAATCTATAGAGCAAGAGTCAATTCAAGTCTTGGGCCCCACAATCCATCAAAAGCATATGCGGTTGTTTGTGTTATTTGTAAATGTATAGTGTTTAGTCACTCTTTTGATAATATTTAACATTTTGGCACTTTTAAACATTATCTATGACACTATGACTGATAGACAGTAAGAGATTTTCTTATTGTTTGATAGACGTTGTTGACGAAAAATGAAAAAAATGCCATGAACCATTTTCTGATGTAAGATTATTACAAACTTTGCACTTGAAAATTGACATAACCACAAAAAAAATTGGCTGATATTCCTTTCAAAGTTATATTTACCTGCATTACTGAATACACACACAGAATTATTTTTCGTTAAAAAAAATCACAACTAACTGATAGAAACTCATGAAGAGGATATTATGGATTCTTATCCACTATTAGAACACGTAATTTTTGTGTACTCACTAAATATATTAAACACAGCCCAGAATACGAGAAATACTTCAAAATAATAATAATTGGTAAAGCAAACACACTCCAAAGCAGTGCAGTTACAAGTTTGTTGTTAATGTTTCGAAATTTTTTACATGATTTGAATAAAAAGAAATGAAAAATGAAGCAGGTTCTAATCCTGTTATGAAGCAAGTATTTGTTTATTTTACATTGGTAGATAACAAAAAAGTAGTACCAAATCAAATTACCTAATGTTCACTTGCTTGCATGAAGTTCAGTTTTGATTCCTCCGGATTTTCTAAAAGCAAAATGCCCTCATATGTATTGACCGATAACTTCATTATTTGAAAAAAGTATTTCTTGAAGTGAATATTTTAAAAAAACTGAGACTTGCTTAGACCTTCGCCCTCCAGTCACCGCACATACCACTGATGATGTCTGCCGCAGTAGCAGACGAAACGTTTGGTACTACATTATATTCAAATCTCAATTTGGCAGATTTGCAAACATATTTGAGTGTTTGTGGATTTTTAAATATTTTTTCTATGACCAGTGTTTTTTTTACATTCGTCTTTACTAGAGTATATTTTATATGTTCAAAATGATTTTCTTTTAATTGTTCACAATTATAATGTGTCCATTATGTATTATTTTGAAAATGTTCATCTCCCGAACAAGTGACGCCTGAAGAAAAATATCATAATGAAGCGGATCATTTTGGTTCAATTATGCCGTTTGTATGCAAGAAAATTTTAACATACCATATTTCTGGATGACATGGTGACAGAAACAACGTTAAACAATAAGTGGAATTCAGGTTAAACTTCTCGAGCAATAAAAAAATATTATCTAAATCAAAGAATTGAAAACATCTCCAGATTTAATCAAGTTGTTTTTTGTAACTCATCAACGCCGATATTATCTATTAATGATTAGGTATCATTGTTATATCTTTATTATGAAATTTGGAATCTTTATGTGATTCATTTCCTTGGATGAATGTAAACTTGTGGATGATGTGTGGGTTCTCAAAGAATGATACCAGACGAATATTTTAAAAGTTATTTAGGATTGTGTTCCAAGCAATTAGTTCTCAGCATAATATCGGAGGTAGAAACGAATGGTGTGTCAGTGATTTTACAAAAAATGGTACTCAAGTTGGAAGCTTACTTAAAAAAAAAATAAAAACCGGTGTACCACAAGAGACGATGCTTGGACCACTCGTTCTTTAAAAAACAGATCAATTATTTATTCAGAGGCATTCAGAGACAGTAGATTATTATGTGAGAAACACTTAAAAAAAAGCTGTTTCGAGTTTGACCTATAAAATTGACAAAGATAAAACGTTATTGAAAAAAATTCAAGTATTCATTTACACATTCAAAGTACAAATAATATAGTTTACCAAGTGTATATGCTATCAGAGCGGAAGTTTTTATTGATGCTAATTAGGCGGCTTGTTATATTTTTGCGGAGTAAATATATTTATGACGGTTACAATAAATACAAACACTTCCTTATCTTCACTGAGTGTTGTTGATGTTTTAGCTTAAAGAATATAAAAACATGTGTATTATCAGTAGTGGACTGAAAAAAAAACTTTCGTCATATCGGAGTTTTGCCACAAACTAATCTCTCCAAAAATATTCCCTTTTCAATTTCGATAGTTACTCAAACAGAAGTACAGGAAGAAAGTTGTGAAAGGACTAGTGTTTTATATAATTTTATTTTGTGTATTTGCATTAATCTATGGGAATATAGGAATCTCATTGCAGTATAAAATTTTTGTATGCAACAGTTTGAATGTGTTAAACCAGCTATCACCCCTTAAAAATGACTACCCTCAAAAGTAAAAATTTGTGCAAGCTAGGGATTAACAAGGTCCTACCTTTCAGCATGCAATTACTAACACAAGTCAGATGGTACGCAGGGAACATCGATTGTCCTGCAGTTGGAATTGAACAAAAATATATAAAAACCATATGGATCAGTCACAACTAACAAGAAACCCTTATTTTTTTTCTAAAATAGTGTTTTCCAATATAGTTTTGAGCTACATATCAAGGTGTGAAAACATGTTTTGAAAAAAGGATCACTTACATTTATCAACAGGGGAGAGTCTTCCAAATTGTCGCTGTGGTCATCAACTATAGTAGACGACATCGATCCCCTATTTCCATTATGAAACATCAACCCGTTTAGTGCTTCACCCCTGTAGGAATTTTCTTTAGGAGTATCCGGAGAAACAATAAGACACTTGACGCAATTTCTCTGTGTAGTATTATCGTCGTCCAAGAGGAAATTTTCATCGTCTTCTAAATGCTCGCATGCAGTCATAGTATCTAACGGGATTGTTCTTGAACAAATAATTTATTTTGCTAGTGTTTTCCTAAACTATAACCTCCTAAGTGGCATTAAACTTTATCTTTTGACACACCGCGTTACCGTTTCCGCATCTAACGATAGTAACCAGCTCATATCCGATAATTATTTGATTGCTCTGAAAACACTGTTTTGGTTTTCAATGTTTTCGTTTTAGTGACATTTTTGACGAGTCGTTCACCTGACATGGAACCAAAGAAATAGCTTGTGAGAAGATACAAGGAGAGCATGGAACACTGGACGCGGCTAACAGATATAAGTTGTAAAAGCGCTGAACCATTTTTACCGTCATTCACAAAAGAAGTCAGAGTATATATTCACTGAGTGATACTTCCAGTTTTGGAATGAATATCTGCTAAAACATTCGTTAACTTTCCAGGAACAAAATATCAGAAAATGAAATTTCTATATAAAAGCTGAGTGCCTCAGTTGAAGAAAGGGCCATGCAACAAAATCAACTTTTTAGGAAATGAAGGTTTCATTTAAACAAGTCAAACATACACTAGAGTAAATTATCGTTCATTTGAAAAAGTATTTGGGGATATGACACTACCAAGCAGTTCGTATTATGGTCCACAGATATCAGCACGATCCAGATCCATTAAAACAAAAAATAAACAACTTGTTTGGCATAGCCCCTTTTCTTACTCAGATACTCAGTTAATTTAGTTGTATACAATTTTCAATTATTTGGAATCAGCAAGGTAGCGCTTACGTTAACATGAAACTAGAGAAAACTAAGAAATAGGTTATTCACTTACACACAAATAAAAATTATTTGTGTATATACGAGTAAAACAATCTTATTTGAAACGGCAACTACAAAACACATGCATTTGCTAATATATTTCTTGAGTTTAATCTTCAATTTCTTTGCCACTTCTATGAAAATTTACATCGCCATAAATTTAACGATTGATATTCTAGACTAGTTTCTTATGGACACATTTTTCTCCCTGAATTCGATGTTCAAATTATAAAATGTAGATGTCGCCCACTCCTTCGTCCTCCCGAAGGTTAATGTATTTTTCTCAGCATATGATAGTGATCGAATATGGATACCTATTATTCACCCTTTACATCAGTACGCTTGTACTATTTTCACGTTAAGAAAGACTTCTTCACACGGAATGGACTGAACCATTTTATGAGTTTTTTTCCCTGTTCAAATCTTTGTCGCGAAGCCTTCAAATTGAGGCAACAGATGGTGCTAACATTCTATATTGGCCTTCGTTCCAGTAGAATTTTACCAGGGAACTAATTTTTACTTCCTATCAGAATAGTCCAAATTTTAATAAGTGATAACTGTTTATGTTAGCTGATGATACCATCACAAACCACTTACTCTAGCAAATTTTTGTACATTCAGAAATGTGTAAGTAGTAGAGTTGCTAGATAAAAATTCTAATTTATAATGGGATTGTGAAATCAAGTTTGTAATCACAAGTTAATAACTTGTTCAAGATACATCCCATTTTTTACTTGGAAATAAACACAAAACTGTATCTTCACTAAAAAAAAAATTGAAATATTTTCCATGGCGGGAAACTACTATTATCCTGGATAATATCCCGGCGAATATTGGATTATGATGAACATCTTCAAAGATTTTCTCCTAGACGAATCTTGCACAAATATCTGCTGGAGGTAACCCATTAACTGTCAGGGTATTAGCCAGGACATTTGTTTCGGTTTCTCATCTTGTAGAAAAATATAGAGACGGATTTTTGAATTTTATTCGCAATATTCATTTTCCTAGTGTATTTTTCATTATGAATAGTCATCACACTGTTTTGATTTCAGTGAGAGAATATGTTAATGCATGAGGCGTGTTAAAAAAATAAGGTGAATTTTCAACCTTAAAAACGTCAAAGGAAATTTCAGCGAAACCGTCTTCTTAGCCTATCTAGAAGAGAAATCAAAAATATGGAACTTGTCAACTTTGTGGAACAACAGACCTCGTACAACTACAAACATGAAACGTCTCAGAGTATTTTCAATGATAAAATAACAAAAATGACGGACCATTGTTTATGGTATGATAGAAAATAGGCTTTCATAACATTGTTTGCACTGATTTTCACGAGTGATGTGAAATCTGGACTTTATTCCTCGCGGATAACCTATGACCTTGCAAATTTCAAACCACGAGTTCAAAATACACAGCCTGCCATATTGCATAAGCTAAATATTTACTATTGCAAAGAATAAATATTCAAGCAATAAAAAAAGTACACCGAGTTTTTCTGTATTACTTTTATTTAACACTTTATAGTAACTATAATTCACAAAATTAAAGCATAAAAGGGTATTTCCTATAACTTTAGATAATAATACAAGTTGAAATCAAAGGATATTCTACAAAAGAGCAATACAAGTGATGTAATTACCAATTACATAAAAATGATTTACTCAAAGCACATGATACTTAAAAAAAAAAATAAACGCCCGAATTAACAAGTAAAAAAAGCACCAAGTTAATCAGTTATTTGACGGACCGGCCAGGTATACAAGGTAACTCGAAAAACGCATTATATTCAAAAGTGAGATTATTACAATGCTCCCAACATTTCGGTGGAAATAATTCACGTCTTCCTCTATAATATTTTTTTCGATTAACCCTGTATTCGTAAATGAACAAAAAGAAACAATTTTGGTACCGTGAGATTTTTAAAGTTTCAAATCTGGTCAACGTTGGAATATACCTAAGTTCACTATAAAAATAGAAAACTACTTATGTTTTGAGAGTAATTTTTTGGAAATAAAACATTACAAACCAGCTGAAATATTTTCCAAAACACCACTTCAAAAAAAAACTTTCAAGGCTTATCAATCATTTCTTTAAAATTCAATATGTCTTTTAAATAATGATAGTGATATAAAGAAATCACGAGCTGAACATAAATCGCCCGCTGACGACATTTATACTACGATAAATACAAATATTGTAAATAGATATCAAAAGTCAACATTGTAAATATTGTTGCATCGCTTCAAGGCACAAACAGTTGTTCTGGATTATTCCGCCATTTTGAATCCTTGGGAATGATAATTTCAATAAATGCAAGTCGGAATGAATTCGGCATTTGTACAGGGCGAGAATAATTAATTGTGGAAACCTATTCAATTTGTGTTTCAAAAACAGGATTTCTACAAAATCTCTCAAAGTATTTACGTAAGGGATAGAGGGCGAAATCATATCGGAGAACTCCGCATATTCATTATTATTATTACATTAAATCTGTAACAACAGACCTTTACATTTTCCCAAAAAAAAAGTCGACATTATTTGTTAGTTCTATAAAAAAAATGGGTAATTTACCAGGAAGTGATACCTAAAAATTACCATTTTGAAGAAAAATCGAAGGTTCAATAATAAATGTGACGTTACTACCGTTGAACTTGCCCCCTTTCTCGAATTGAATATCTCTTCAACAAAATTTGAAATGTTTTAATTTCATAATATGAAATGCTTCTTAATTATGGTATTAATCATCAAATCGACTTCAAAAACTATTTGGCAAAGTTGCACACTCAGTCAGGACAACAAACCACAGGAGGAGGAGGAGGAAGAAGAAGAAGAAGAAGAAGAAGAAGAAAAAGAAGAAAATTAAATTATGCAATATGGATAAACTTTACGGTGTTGCCAAATTCATATCAAACGAAAATAACAAAAAAATTAAAACGAGGTACTATTCATCATGTATGTAGTTTTCACCAATTCAGTTATCTCAATGTTAGTGTAAAGATGTATTGAAACGAACGTTGGGCATTTTGCTTTCAACAAAAAATCCGGAAAAAAAAAATATTCGAGACATTTTACTGTAATGAACTAATTAATTTTTGGTGAATTTTTCATGATAATTCACAAATACTGAGACGTGTTTCATGAAGAACCTACATATTTTATAACCTCTGAATATTTTTAAAGATCACTTAGGAAATGTCTCGACTATATAACCAATTAGAATGATTTGTAGTAATTTTGGTAAAATTCAGTTCTTCACAGAATTTCTGTGAGAAGTTCCAGCCACGTGAAATATGTGGAATGTGGTTGAATTAAATATATTTTATAATTTTCTTTTTCGTGACATGAATTTGAATTCCACTACTACTGTATTTTTGAATACTTTGAATTTTTTTTATATAATTCAAGGTATTCAGAAATTTCGTAAAAACCCATATCAAGTCCATAGAAAAAGTTTTGTAACATTTAGAGGACAATCCGAGATTTTTCTGCAATTGTATAAAATTTCTCATTGAAATTCTCATGTCGCAAGAATTTCTGAAATAAAAATTATGGAAAATTGAACAGAATTGATATAATAAATTCAAAATTTCTCAAATACTAATCAGTGTATTTAAATTGAAAAGCCCACAAATACATATAAAGTAAAATAAAACATAATTGATTATACGAAGAAATTAATGTTGACTTCTTCAAATATTCCATAAAATAAGAATTTAGAGGATCTTGATGAAGTCTGTTTTGATAAAATCAAAAAGAATTCCTGAGGTTCCTGAGCTTGAACATGGTGGCAAATATTCCTCAGATTTTTCTTGATGAAATAGGTATGTTTTTCATCGAATTACAAAAATTTCAGATTGATCTTAGTATCAAAAAGCCATTTAATTGAAAGTCCTCTGAATTTACCGAAATAAAACTACCGCTAGTATAATTCTGTAATTCACTGAGATAATTTTTAGAATCGTTTTTGTCGATAATCCACGAAATTTTTGGTTATTTAAAATTTCAAGAAATAAGTCACTCTAGGTAACATCAAAACTGCTCTCGCCCTGTACCACTACATTTTAAATTCACGTTATTCGTTTGCCACACTAAAATACATAGAAAAATCTAAGATGGCAAGTAAAATGGCTACTACGGAATACTTTGGAAGAGATCTAAATGTTTCATTGGTCCTAAGTTTACGATTTCAAAAAGCATATTTATTCATATTTTATAGACAAGTGGTTAGTAGAAATGAAACTCACTTTACACGGGGTTCAACAAACAAGAGAAAGTAGAAATTTTCCCCTGGCAAGTTGTTTGATTCACTCGTTTCCAAGAACCCTGTATAACGAATGGTTTTTCTAACAAATGAAATATAGTCTAATGAAAGAGTATTTTTTTGTTCACAGGAAAGAACAAAATTTCAGTTCTGTGCGAATATTCGTCCCACAAGTTGTTGTATCAAAAATGGAAAATTCAAATGAGGTTATAAAAAATGCAGGTAATGAATAGGATGTTTACAAATCGTGGTTTGATTGGAATCCAAAAATATTGAGGTTTCTAAAATAAAACTTTTTGAATTCTAGGAAAATGTTTGTAATTTCATGTTCCCTTGCTTCAAAAAACGAACATTATCTTCTTTTGAATTAGTATACACCCTGTATATCGACGAATATTGGCACAGAATCATAGAATATTCTGAAAATCCTAAAAACATCCTGTAGAACGCTAGCACCTATAGCAGAAAATGGAACTCATTCAGTATTAATTTATATAAGGAAATATATTCACATATTTTTTTTTGTTCCTGTTAGATGGTTTGATGAAAATTGAAGCAAGCAAGTTTAACGCAACAGAACAAGAGATGATTGTTGCAGATCGCTCTGAAAAAGTTCCATTGCTGTTCAAAAATAAGACTAACCTCCTAGAATTAAGACAGTACTTTTATACAAAATGGACATGCGTATGTATAGTTTTCCTAGAAGAGTCCTATTCGAAGAGAGACAGGCTGGTTCGAAGGAGAATTTTTTGATACATTATAAAAGAAGTGTCAAAAAATCAACGTTTTTTGTGTTTTTTCTCATTTTCCATCATTTATCTTAACGTGTTGCAGGCTAAAATGGTAAAATCTGCATTTGAAACGTTAACATACATTGTGGAAGATGAAAACCCCAAAAAAAAGTTGGATAAAAAACCTTGAGAACTCAAAAAAAAAAGACTTTTGTTCAATAAATCAAGAACTATTGGATTATACATTTCATGTTGTTCGATTTTCCTATTTTCCTTATATCAACTTGTGTTTTATTGTGCTTGTAGTGGAGTTTTTTCAATAAAAAACGTCAAAAGAAAGCAGCATTACATGATTGTTTCTTCTGCATGTATGATCGTTTTATTGGCTTGTATTTGAAAATTTTCAGTGAAGACACGTTGTGTTTTATTGTGCTTGTAGTGGAGTTTTTTCAATAAAAAACGTCAAAAGAAAGCAGCATTACATGATTGTTTCTCCTGCATGTATGATCGTTTTATTGGCTTGTATTTGAAAATTTTCAGTGAAGACACGTTGACATTTTGAGCGAAATTTCGCGTACTGCTAATGGGAATCGGACATAAATCGATCATAATCACGATTCAACAGGGTAAAACGAGTTCAGTGTCTTCAAGTGATTAATTTCCTCCTCAAAATTCAAGAAATATTGATGCAAACTTTTATTTTCAATCAACGGCAGATGTACTTGAAAAATATTCCCCGTTTCTAGGCTTAATAACTGGCTTAAAACAATATGAATTCAATAATTTTGAAAGGTTTGAAAATGTCTTAAATTCCTATTCAACAAACTTCTGTGAAATATAAATCTTCTTTATAATTTTATTGCCTTGAATCCTTCTGTTCATACGGAAATATAAAACAAAAATGTCATATATTACTTGCTTCTTCTGAGAATTCCTAGTTTCGAATAAAAATAACTCGATCTATCGCAAACTTTCGATGATACTGTTTAGCAACACTCACAACAAAATTGGAGTGGTAAGCCCCCCGGCTCAATTATGACACCTTTGTTATTTTCAATCTATGTCTAGGGTTCAATGCTATTTATCCATTAGATTTCAAAGTTATTTTGCTGTTTAAAGAATGTGATACTGTGGTAGACATTATCACTGCAGAGAACAACTCTATCACTTTGACCGTTACCTCATTGCCTTTGATAATATCTACCGCAGTAGTAGAAGAAACGTCAGATATAAAAACATGCAGACCACGGCAATGGCCATTTGGAAAATAGGTTTGACACAGTTCTTTTACTGTTGTTACAAAATTATTTGCAAAATTTTCTATCTGAATTTTTATATGTAGTCAAATATCCCACTCTCATATATCTGGTGTATATTCAAAAAAACTAAATGTCACAAGTGGTAGAAATATTTTTCATCTCTTATTTTTCATCTCTTACTTGTAGTTACTATTTTTCAACTATTTTAATTTATTTGGTAAGATATAGTGAGACGACTGAATTGTGGTAAAGCTGACCATTTTCAAGTTCTATTGAATGATAAAAAAAATTCGACTCTGGGCCTTTTGGTTCTGAAGGTATACAGCAAAAAAACAATTCGGAATTCTATTTTTGGCTGAATCCACTTTATTTGCAGATATATTAAATATCTATTCAAACTTTGTCACAATAACTAGAGCTGAACTTTTTTTTGCTGTTTGTTTTCTCTTTCAGTTGACACTTTTCATTGAAATGTGAAAACTTTAAAACTATTAGGTTATCAGTTTCTACGTTATATCATATCGTATATTTGGCTTGCCATTTGAATAAACTTACAGCTGAGAGGACTTTGTTTTCGAATTGAGCGGGGGAATATTTTTCACAATAGATTAGTTGTTTGGGACGAAACCGTTTTGTTTTTCTTCTTTTTTTTCTGGAGTATAAATATGAAGAAGTGGAAAGCCAAAACACTTTTGTCGTGAAAGACTTCGTTTGTGTGTCAAAATTCTACTTAGTTTTAATATTTCTGATAGACATCGTAGATGATTAATTTCCCTATTCAACTAACTGTTTGTCTCTCAATAAAAGGCAAAACTGTAATTATCTGGCATAGAATAAACCCAAAAGAAGCACTTTTTCCAATCACCAGAAATACAACAGTCTTTCCAACGCTCGTTTCAACGCTAGTTGCCGTCTTCAGGAGATGAAAATAACGGCTTCATCTCCTAGTTGGTAAAACACGCGTCGAAAAGAGTGTTGCATTTCTGGTGACGGGAAAAAAATGCTTTTTTTGTGTTCATCTCTTGATGACTACCATGCAGAGATTTGAATAGCCCCGAAAATTGTATTTTTTCAAATTTTGTATGGGCATAGTTTCACCAAGTTCTTGTAAAATAAAGAATATTGCCATTGTTATTGATGAAAATCATTTCAATGTAAAAAACACGCTTCTAAAAACAATGTAAGACTATGAAAATGATTCAAAATTTTACGAAAATGATTCAAATTATACGAGGGGAGTGAGAAAAGTTTGCTTACATAATAGTTGGATGCATTCCCGAAATTTCAATTCTATCAGGGTTCTGGAAAATATTAAAATGAAATATCGAAATTTTTTACTGATCCTTAGCACATTAGCAGTCACCACCAACAAGAACAGTTGTTTCTCGATACAATAATCATACAGTAGATGCCGCTTTCTTCCGACCTTTTTCCACTTCTTTACCTTTTAGATCACTATACTTTCACCGCGCTACGAACCAGCTCGTGCCTCCGTCCAAACCCGGCCTTAAATGTTGGCCAACTGTACGTAGTTGGCGGGCAACATGCCCACCTGTCCGGTACGTTGAACCTCACCCGTCATCCAACCTCCGTCGATGCTCTGCACGTTGATGATCAAGTCGCCCTCCTTGAAACTGACCTCGTCCTCGTCTTGGGCGCCGTAGTCGTACATGGCCATGTAGACGCGCCCTAGGGAGCCGTAGTTGTGGTTTACGGGGTCCATGTCGTGAACTGAACCTGTATAAGTCATTGGTGGTGATACCGTGATAGTGCCACAAGGATCTCAATCTGGGCCAGTTCATTTATAAATAAGTACATAAATTACATCAAAAGGTGTGGCTCAAAAAGTTATTTAGTATTGGAAAACCTTGTTATTGGGAGTGTTCAAATTTTTCAAAGAGAAAAAAAAATTCAATCATCCTCATGATACCAATATTACATCCATGGTTAATGTGTCCAATTATCACATTTAAATCCTGATGGAATTCCTCCAAGTTTTCTTAAATCATTCATCTTCATTTTAGCTAGACCACTTTTCTATATATTTAATAATTCCCCATCATCTGGAAAATTCCCGGACTATTGGAAAACCTCATATGTCTCCCCAATATATAAATCAGGCCGACGTGAGTAATTATCGCCCCATCTCTATTCTTAGTGCAATCCCTGAAGTTTTTTAGAACATCTTTTTTTATTACCTTACTTATTTATGACCGTTCCCCAATTATAGGGACCCAATAGTTCGGATTTACATCCAAAAAGTCAGCTGAACTGGGTCTGATTACCCACATCGATTTTTTGTCTGATGCTCTGCCTAGGGGTTTGCAAGTTGACTCTATGTACACTGTTTTCTCCAAAGGGTTTGACAAAGTTAATCATGAGCTATTGATCCATAAACTTTGTTTATATGGTGTTAACGGGCAAATATTGCAGTGGCTCAAGAGCTATCTTACAGAAATAACGCAAATTGTTAGAGTTAATCATTACTATTCTCATACAATCGCAGTTACATCGGGTGTTCCACAAGGTTCACATTTGGGACCTCTGTTTTTCAACCTTTTTATCAACGATCTAATCAGCTGTTTCCATGAAAGCAAAGCTTTGCTATTTGCTGACGATTTAAAATGTTTAAAATAATCAAAAGTGAAGATGAAACATTGTGTCTAACTTACATAACCTACTTCTTATCTTACTTTGAAATTGTATTAGTCTTATAATTTATTTTTAATCCACTGTATTACATCAAGTACTACATAGCATTGTACTACTTATATCTGGATTGGGCGGTGTATATAAATAAATAAATATCCAATACCTGGTGAAATGGAATCCAAGTCTTTCATTTGTGTAACATTATTGAGTCAAACTTTAAATACAGAATGAAATAATGTTACAGGAATTCATATTTACATTCATGTTAAGTGCACTGGAAAAAAGTGTTTACTTTTTATAAAGGCAAAACGCAATTACCTTACATCTGTTGGGATTTCTTAGATGATGAATAAAATATTACGATTAACCTAATTAACACCGGCCCACAAACTGATCCTTGTGAGACTACATGCTGAATTGAATTTGTGTTAGCCAACAAATATTAAAATACCTTATTTAACTGTAATTTTCAAACACTCACCAATATGACGTTGTGGCTGGCTGTTCACAGATCCCACGTCTGAAGAATATATCAAAGTCTGAGAATTCCTGGAAGAGTAGGGACTTTGGAACTGACCGCCAGTCGCTTGCGGGTCATAGTCGCCAATCTTACCGATAGTTGGATTCGCTGCGGGAGCAGAGTGAGCTGGCAAAGATTGAGCCTGAGAAACTGGGGGCTGGTATGAGCTTTGTGGTGGAGGATTCGCATTCTTTACATCGGGGTCTTTTAGGCCTGAAAAAGTCAGCAGATTAAAATGTTTAGATGAAGATTGGAACAATTGTAAATGAGATATGTAAACAATAAATATTTCAAGAGAAAGTGGACAATTTGTGAGAGCCACTAATTCAGAAATGAGTTTCGGTACAATGAAGGGAGTTAATAATTGAAGAAGGTTCTTTTACTACATGGGCTGACCTTGGACCTAACATATCTTGGACCTAACATATAGAGGGCGCTACTCTTGTTGCATTCACAACTTTTTCAGTACGTACTAACACTCAAAAGGAAGTTGTTGAAATTACATGATAGTTTTTGAGTTATTTTGCTAAGAGTGACACTACTTTTGTTACTCTTTGTAAATGACCTGGCTACTGTACGTATTTCTGGTAGTTTAACCATTTTTGCAGATGATACCACACTTTTGTGACATAATATAAGTCAATAGAATTTATATGAAAGCATCTGTAATGACCTCAACAAAATTGAACAATGGTGCGATGCAAATCTGCTGTCATTCAACACTAAAAAACTAGTATAATCACCTTTAAGTACAATCTACCAGAAATCATATGGAAAGTACACTAGTGGAAAATAAGATATCTACAAAATTCTTGGGATATAATATCGATGAGTGTCTGAAATTTGAGGAGCATACAAACATTATAAATAAGAAACTTTCCTCCAGGCGTTTTGCACTCAGAATAGTATCAAAAAAATTAGGATTTCACACAGAAAAATATGTTTATTATGCCCTCACACTCACCTAAGGTATGGCATAGAATTTTGGGGTGTATGCAGTAAACAGCTGTTTCAATCTGTTTTCATATTACAATAACGTGCGGTACAGTATCTCTGTGGAGCAAAGCGGAATAATCCTTGTAAGCCACTGTTTTTTAACACGCTTTTATGAGCTTCACCTGTATGTATGTATGTTTGTTTATTGTAGTGATCCAGAATTTATAAACCTCTAAGGAAGCTAGCCACTCGTACCAGCGAAAAGTCAGGAAGAAATTTCAAAAATACACGCCCTTCGAACCCGAAACATAGTGTCACTAATAACCTAACATAAGTAGCTTATATTGTTTGTTTGACTTGCCATGTGTACACTGCTCTATCACTTCATTGAAAAAAAAATATGTACTCACCATTGGAATTTTCGTTGTGCCTCCTCTGTTCCATCTCCGCTTTCCTCAATAGATCTCCATGGTATGCTACGTTGCTGATGATTTTAGTGTTCTGTTTGATTCTAAGAGTCTCCGGATCATCCGCTACTTGCGTAAATTTGCCTTTGCTCTTCTCGAAATCAGCGTGGTATTTAACATTAGACTGCAGTTTGGTGTTTTCGGCAATGCGTTTCAATTCAGGAGTCTCTGCCATAGTGGTAGCTTTCGCTTTCGGAATGTGTCTGAAGGTTGCAAGAAAATGTATTAACAAAAAATCATCAACGTCATATTGATATTTAATGAACCGGTCTCTTGTGTGAGGATACTTTCCTAATGAATTTCAAAAGCCTTCGGTTATTTTTTTTTTTAAAGGGGGAAAGAACTAAGAAAGATAACTACAGATAAATTTCACTATTGAGTTCTCTTTCCAATACTGGTAGATAAAGTTTTGAATCATATGCGTATAGCAAAGTACTACAATCTAAATCGTCGACTTAATCATTCAGAAACAATGAAAAAAGTAAAAGCCCTAGATTGGAGCCTTGAAGGACTCCAGAAGTTGGAACATATGGATTGATTGGAATGATGGCCATTATAAAAATCGAACATACGATTTGCAGAACTGGATATCTCTGGATGAACCAAAACAGCTCAGCTTTTCCAACAAAATTCCATGATCTACCCTATCAAAAGCCTTTGAGAAATCAACATAGATTACATAGAAAGGTTCATAGTATGCTACAGTGAAGAGAAGGTGCTGTTCAAAGAGTTTTTATCATGAGAAGTGAGTTTCTGAAATGAACAACTTTTCATCTTTTGGATGGCCGTATTTCCAGAAGTAGACCAGAGGGCAATGCTTTGACTTTTGATTCATGATCAGCAAACAAAAATAAATAAATATGAAATGACATGTGTTCCCATTTTTCTTGAAATAATAAATTGATATGAATAGAAGATATTTTCAACTTTAGAAGGTTCATATCTTGGGCACAAGATTCTGCACAGGGTGTACAGAAATCCTTAATTCTCAATATCCCTGGGTCGTCAACTTATTGGGCCATATGTTCGACATTAACAGAGTTCTGATCAAATTACTAGTTTCTTGAATATGAACCGGAACAAGAGTAACTTTGATACTTACGCTTCACAATAGGGCTCCTTGTTGAACCCTTTGTAAGATCGCATATTCAGTGCCATTCCGCAGTCCTTGCATTTGAAGCATAGTTTGTGCCAAACCTAAAAAACAGAACTATTCATCAGAAAATTCCTTGATGAATTCAATTGCTAAGAAACCGTCAAGGAAGTGGTAAGTGGTTTTAATTTTCATGACTCATTCAATTCAGATGTTTCTCCTAAAACAACCTTGATTGAACACAATTTTTCTGGAATTGATTTTATAGTAATCGGTAGTTATGAGAACGGACAATTAATTTGTAAATCTAGGCAATCTTTGACGGAGAATTAACAGACCTGCAATTTCATGATAAACAAATCTTACCTTGTCCAGGCACTTCAGCTCTTCGGTGGGATACACTGTTTTTTCGCACCTTGCACACTGTTTGCTCATCTTATTTGGTTAGGATATCAATTTGCATTAATTACTGTATCTATTGTAAATATTTTCTTTTCCATAAAACCGTTCACCTGTTCCTCACTAATTGGTAAAATTCATCAACCCAACCCACTAGACGGATTGACCACCACAAAAGTCATGGAATCGCAGGAATTAATTGAGGAAAGCTGACAGCTGTCATCATAGTGGTAGGAATGCGTTTACCAAAGTTGTGTGAAACACCCAAGCAGTTTGCAGCTTTAAAACTCATTCTCAATGAGAACTGATAATCGAGTCTCCTTAACAGAGAAAACTGAACAGAGTTTATGTCAACGAGTCTCCTTAACAGAGAAAACTGAACAGAGTTTATGTCAAGTGAGAAAAAATGAAATGAAATATAATAGTAACTGGAACACTAATGACAAAGCACTTAAGAAAAGATCTAACCTAATCATCTGATGCTATATACAGATAATTAGATATAATGGTTCCACAACTTTTACTTTATATTATTCTACAACATGAAGAAAAAATACATCTTGAAAGAATTGAACACAATTATAATACCCCGTGGTTCTGAAGAACCTGAGATCCATTGAATTTAGAACCCAGAACCGTTTGGTGTCCCGTTCATCTTCCTATCAATCTAAAACACTATACATTATGAAGGTACCTATTGATGAGCATCTTATACACACAAAAACTCTCCGCAGTTGACCGACTATTCGAACGGATATATGAGCAGAAAGGGTCAAAGAGAGAAGTCACTGGTTGTAAGGAGAACCGGTTCATTGATATAGTATCCTCCTACAGATCTGATCATCGGAACTGTCGGGGAAGAACAGAGTTGCTGCTACAAATATGCTTGACGTTCCGATTTAACTCCTTTGGAGTAGTGAAATGGACTCGGGAGGAGTTGTAATATCAACTCGACGTAAAGACTCGAAAAATTATGCATTTACATTGGAGTTTGCATCCCAAATCGTCCGGTCCACTGTTGTAGTTCCACCATGTACTCGAATTTGTTGTTTGAAATATGTTTTTCCGTTAACCAGCTATCGAACCCCTATGAACGACAACCCTCAGAAGTCGGAACTTGTTTTAGCTAAGGACTAACGAGGTCTCACCTTTTAACGTGTGCTTGGGATCCTCTTCAACAACACTGGTTTATTAAAGAACCTAACTTTCGCTTTTTTTAGGGGTTACTCATGGCCTGTCAGTATGGTATCAATAACACTCTACTCTATCGCAATAGCGTGATGGGTATAGAGGTTTCCGACATAAGATGCAGGGCCTGCCGCGAGGCGCCCGGGATGAGCCTAATGCACTTGCTATAGCATGTCCAGCATACGTAGTCTCAGCCTTTATCTATCGATATAACTCAGATCTAAAAATGCTTTATCACCAACTACGGTATTGACGAGACCCGGTGTTACCCTACGCTCTGGGCGACATTAAATCCGTTGTAAAAAATAGAAGTCTTACCAGGAAGAGAGGAAGAAATACTGGTGAAAAATAAGGATTTTTCTCTTCGAACTCCGCAGACTCTATCCCGATCACTCCGTCAAGAGGGTTGTTCTGATTATTGGAGTCCTTAATGGAATGCTGTTTTTTATACTCAACTATCTCAAGATCATCTCGGGTTGCTGCACGAAGGCAGAAATCTAGACCGGACAAATGCAAAAGGCTGTCATTCTTGGTTCACGGCGCTTGCTTAGAGCACATGCGTCTCGAACCTAATGATCACTTACCTTACGGTGTGAGGACTTTCATTGGTTAATAATGCTGGAGCACCTTCCCGAATGTGTCGGAGCTTCGAGGACAGGCCCCAACCAGCTTGCCTTCGGTGAAGTGAAAAAATAATATGTATTTCTCACAGAAACAAGTTACTACAACATTTTTAATTTCAGTTGAATCAAAGGGCAACTCACAAACGGATGAATACCTGTGTGTGTGTATGTGAGAGTGGGTGAAATAATATACACAATGCATATTCGACAGATTACTACCTAGGTAGCACATGATATATGTGTATTTCATCTAACAGTTTTATTTTATGTGAAAAAATACTTGTGTCAATCATTCGACGAATATCTAAAAATATCAAACATATAATACATTTAACAGATACAAAAAAGATGCATTTTACAATACAAAAAGAAGACCTCTGATAACCTCTGTTTAGCACCTCATATATCACCATATTACCATTCAGTCGATCCAAAAAACGTTTTCAATCATTTCGCAAACTGGTTTTCGCTTTTTTGTGGTAGACGCTGCCGATTATTTGATAATTGATTTATTTTTTTCCTTTCAGAAATTTGTAAACCACCGAAAAGTCTTTTTCTTCGTAGCCATTCAATAACAACGCTCTGTAGAGTTGGTGGGCCAAGGCGCCCAAAGGAAGTGGAGATCCAGAATTCAGCGCTGCACGTTCGGCAAGTCCCAAATCTTTCGCTATCAACGGAACACTGAATCCACCTTCGTAACTAAAAGAAAACAAAGATTAGTGGAAAACAATTATCTCAAGCTCATTTGTTGGTACACAAAGTAGTCCAGTGGAAGAACAGTTCTTGTGGTGTCTCATTACAAAATTCTGCTTCAAAACAATAAAGGCAATAGACTTATTATTATTATCGTTGGAAACTTTCTGCAGGCTCAACTGTTAGAACTTTTCGCAAAAATCCAAAAACACATCGAATTTTTTGGGGAAAAAAGCTTACTTGTTAGAAGATGGCACATTTGGCATGACTCCGGGCACAGGGTTGTAGGTATCTGAAGACCAGGATCTACCGGTCGAAACATTCACTATCGCCGTCAGTAACTTGGGGTCCAGACCTGAATTGACTCCTAGATTCATGGCTTCGCAGGTACCAATCATTGTAATGGCTGGAAAGATGATATGACTATATTACTTTTTTATATGCCTAAACTATGGAAAATTACAAAATACATAATGAAGTAGGTATAAGTTTGGTTTCAGCAGGAATATTCAACATTTCAGTTAAGGAAGTTGTTTATTAAATATATTTATTAAGCACTTTTCTTCAAATCTATAGAAAATGGTCATGATGTAAGATGGTGTTAAAATTTGAATATTTTCTTAAATTTTGTATGCATCATATATTTATGAAGCTATTACCTAAGTTCAAACTCATCATATAACCTTCTGTAATCAATATCCACAAAACGGTTATAAAAAGTATTGAACTTTTACAGGGCGAGTAAGAAAGTGAAAGACATGAATGTTTGAACACTGAATGAGCATTCTGTATTTTTAGGAAAGTAGCTAGTATATTTCGCCATTTTCCACAGATTTGAGGAATGTTACTTAAAAATGTTACCTAAAATCAAATTGTTGCACAGTTTCGCTGTTTGTCCGGCTCCGATATTTCCACAATGGAAGATTTTGGCGCCCATCTTCAACAGGAACGGTTCAACTTCTTTAACGTCAGTTTCTTGTCCGCCCGTCATAAAAGTCAGAGTTCCAGCCTGAGCTCCAGTTACCCCACCTGATACTGGAGCGTCTATGAATCTAATGCTGTTTTTTTGAGATATTGTTGATAGCTCCTTGGCCATCTGAGGTTCAATTGTCGAACAGTCCACCAGGATGGATTTCTTTGGGATTCCTGCGGAAAAGAAGTCGTGCTGTCAAACATCTCAATCTGATCTGATGAAAATATTAAATAATTTTTTCAACTACCAAACCGTATAAAAAAACCCTGGAAACATTAGAAATACCTTTCAGAATTCCTTTTTCTCCCAACAGCGTCTCCTTGACGATGTCTCCGTTGGGAAGCATAGTTATAACGATGTTTGCGTCTTTTGCTGCTTCCTCAGCACTGCCGCATTGCTGAGCTCCCTTTACGCTAGCGGCTGCGGCAGGAACTGTGTCGTAAACCTTTAAACTTTGCCCTTTGCTGATCAAGTTTGCCGCCATCCTCTTACCCATCTGTCCCAGACCGATGAAGGCTACATTGCTGGAGTTCCTCGCTAAAAAGAAGACATTTTCGAAAATAACAAAATAACGATGGTAATACAAATTTGTATGAAAAAGTTGTTTTATATGTTGGAATACCTAATCATACAGAACTAAGTAAGTTAGTTGTATAATTCTCAGTTATTTCTTGCCCAGTTCCTTCAAAATTGTTCTCAAATCAATTATGAACATACTGAATATCAGAGAGCCAATAATTATTTCTCTGACAACCCAATATATACAATAAGTATGTTAGTGAATAAACCAACCTGAAAGGTTGGTTGCTACCAAAGAATACAAAGCCCATAGATGCTAAGAACCTGTCATTTTCATATACCGTACAATTTTTAGTACTTACTCTGACCACCAAAGGGCGACGCCCTTAGTGTAGTATTTAATGTGATTACCAACAGAACTGGGTAGCAGTCACTGACAAACAAGTCGGCTTTTCAATTTAATTTTGGCGTACATCCCGACTTCGATATGACTGGTTGTCAGCGACTGCTAGCTACACAATTCTGTTGATACTCACATTCTCTTATTAAAATCTATTTTTCCGTTAATCAGCTGTCGCCCCCATACGAAGGACAACTCTCAGAAGTTGAGAAACTTATGCGAGCTAAGGACTAACGAGGTCTTATCTTTTAACGTGTGATTCCTAACACTAAATATTGACATCATGGACAAAAGAATAGGTCCATTACTGACATCGTACTGCCATCGCCCTCTGGCGGTTATGGTAAGTACTACAGAGGAGATGGATGTCGAGTTCACGACTCCAACTGACCTCCTTGTAAAGTTAGTTCAGGAGGTTCTCAACTCCCCAACTCCTGATCTAACAACTGAACCTTAGAAAAAAAGGTTTGGTGGAAACGACTGAGGAAACGACTGAGTCGTCTCCTCAAGAGCGGGGTACCTTATAAAACCGCCTTGCACCAAATTCTTGATCGGCGTACGCAGAATCTGTCTCAGGTGGGGAACAAACTCCCCATGAGCAGGTCAGCAAACATTTGCACTCAAGTGATGATTCACCAAAACCAGAGGCGAAAAAGGCCTGCACGGCTAAATCTAAGACATCGTCAAGTGTAGCTGACGTACAAAAAACCCTCATATGGGAAGGTTGTCGTGGGTATCAGGGTGAAATCTTGCAGCTTGACTTTTCGACTACCTCATTAACAGAGCATATACTTTGTGCCTGCCCCGCTGAGGACCAATTCAGGTCTTTAGAGTTCGGCAGAGCCGTACTCTTACCATCTGACCTGAAAGACCACTCGCCATACAAACTAATCGGTTTCGATAAGAAGCTGGGTTTATTTGTCCGAGTGTGAATAGGTGTGAGCCACAATAAACCCTTGCGAGTTGCGGTGGAGGGTCGAATAGACACACTCACTTTGGACCTAACCTAACCTAACTACTAAAAAATTTAGGTTTCACAAAATGCAACTTCTGAGCTTCGATGGGATTTGTATTCTTTTTTTCCTAAAAAAACAATTGTAAGTAGTTTCTTCGTGTTGATAATATTACTATTCAAAAAACTATCAGACATATTAGATGCACATTTAAAAAAAAAATTCAAACTTTGCAACAACCAAATTTCCGACACAACATCAACACAAAATGACATGAAACAAACGTTTGTTTTATCAGTATACTTTAGCTTCAAACCCCTCATCTGAAGTATTAGATTGCACGGGCTGTATTAATACTTCCCTTCCCATGCAATGTATCTTCGAAACTTGAAAGATTAATAAATCATTATTATCAAATCGTTATGGTAGCTTCATGACGTTATCTATTTATATTATTCCGCAAAACTTATCAATATTTTTATATAGTGATGCACTTCAAAAGTTGAGATAATGTAGATGTACAATTTTGTTTTGATCTTCTTTTATCAAAAATTATTTATATTCAACGAAACCAAGCGTTATGTAATTGAATCACCTGATGTTTGGGAGTTCTTAAAAATAACTGTATCCCCCAAAAAGAAATTCTGTTGGATTCGTATACATACCTTGGGACAAATTTAACTAAATTTACTTGGAACTTTATTGAAATGTTCGATTTGAGCATATATTAATAATAATGTATCAAAAACATTGATGAAGAAATGATAAGGTACCTACACCGTATTTTGAATTCTCAAACGACAAAAATATTTTTATCGAACTTCTAGGAAAGATAATCTGAGGTGACTCTGTAAGAAGCAATAAATACACAAAGGAAATTAGTTTTTATTGATTTTTTTTTTGTATTTCGAGTAAACTGATGTTGCTTATCCAACAGTTTTCGGGGATTTTAATTGGACAAAATTCTTCTGACTAATGGTCGAAAGTTATTTATGGGGCATCTGCTCTTAGTAAGTAAGTGAGTAAATAAAAACGATTCTGGCGTCTAAAAAGTCCTTCGGAACCTGTACAAATTAGTACAGTCAGACAGTTAGTGAACTATCAAAAACTGTAGTAATAGTGTAGTAGCAATAAATTCTTTTGATTATACATTAAAGAGTCAACAGAGTCTTACATATAAAAAAATAGAACTACCAGAGGAAGAAAACTTTTCGCTGACATAAAAAAACACGTCAAGTTTGTAAAGTGGCAATTTTTTATGTAAAAACCACTGTAAAAACCAAGCGAGGGTGTTACCACCCCAAGTTATATTAAATGGGGATAGAGGTCAAGTCATATCGTCCAGCATAGGATTTTTAGTTTGCCAGGTTCAGATAACTAGTCTGTCTTGTGAATTGTTGAAAATTGTTAATTGAAAATTATTTTGCAATCTTTTGATTTCATCACTAATGGAATATTTAATTCCAAAGAGGGTGGAAACAATCTAACTTCAATTTGAAAATGAAGAATTTGGAGACGACTTTTAATGACACATGCGAAATTAAGAGTTAACAAGCGATGAAAAATGGTATTTTTCTATTCAACGTATATTTAAATTCATAATGTATATTTAAATTCTCAATGCTATTCTCACAGTACCTCAAAAGTTGAACTTGTGTGCTAGTATTTATGGAAAGTATCTTCCTGATAATTTAAGATATGTACTTGATTTACTCTAGCCTCCGCTAAAATTTCTAACTCTAGCCTGTACTAAAATTTCAGAGTATTATCCTGCATACATTGAAAAGAAAATGATGTTTCAACAAGATGGTGCTTAATTACATCATTTACAAAATGTGCGTGATTATTCGAAAGGCAGGTTTCAAGCGCGCTACCTAGAACGAATAGGTGCAATCGAGTGGCCTCCTCGGTTACCCGACTTGAGTCTCATGAAAAACGGATAGTTGATCCCTCAACCTGATTCATTAGAAAACCTGCACACACGAATGTCTGATAACGGTTTGAAAATAACATGTTTTATTGTATGGAGGTTTGCGAAAACTTTTACAGCATTTACTTCATTTACTTAAGAATTGATTCAACTTTTGCTTTTCTTTGGCAAACGTATTTTCAACATACAGAAAGTCCATATCTCCTAGACGCGTGGATCAATTTTCAAAAGCGAATCAGCAATGTATAGGGATCGAAATCCCTTCAAAATGACATGTTACTCGTTCACCACACCTATTTGAAAAAAATGGGACAGAACTTGTTTGCTTTACAAACTTGACAAGTTCGGATTTGTGCGAAAAGTTTTTTCTGGAATTTCTATGCCTTGCGGCACGTTTTGGATGGCCCACCCTGTACTTTGAAAGTGCCAGTATTTAAAAGTTTTGAATAATGAACTGTCCAAAATATGACCATCGCTGGATGAATTATTTCTGTGACGACGAAAGGGGTGATTTCAATGGTTTATTTTGCGTTAATTTTTTTAATTGAATCAAAACATTTTCATTACACTTCAAATCAGTGACAGTCATATCTATTCGAATTCAATAAAAGTAAAGTTTAAAAATAACTCGTGATTTGAAAGTACTCAACAGCTGGAGCCGATCCTGAATTTTAAATTTATATTTACTTCTACCACATGTTTAACATCTATCTACTAAAGTGTCCCGTGTTTCTTGATACCTGATCTAGAAAACGAGCCGTTCAAAACTGGACGGCATATTTAGAGAGGTTGAATGGGTAATTTCTGCATAATTAAGTCCGTATGGAATGCATAATAATGATTGTGGCTAAAACTTTTCTTTGCAAAGACATTCTACTAAAGAGCTATTATTAGAAAAAATAAATGGTTCAAGTGAGAGTGATTGATTTTTCTAGTGGATCGCTAAATTTTCACGACATATATTTTTAGAAAATAATCCAAAACGTAAAATTATTCTCGGTGTTTGGTGTTGATATTAATGTTCATACTTACTTTGCACATTCCTTACGAATAGCCTGACAGGAGCAGCGAAGGACATTATTAATCAAATATTAGATATCGGATTGGCAAGATATTTACACAACACACGCGCAATACTGAGTAGGCAACGATAAAATGACGATTTGGTATGTAATGTTACCGCTTCCCCCGAAGCTAATCTTTTTTAGTATAATTTGCCGTTGACCTTCCAGGCAATAATAGCTGAAATGGTGGTTGCCTATGATGTAGGTGAAGAACACGGTATTTTTTCTACGCGTTGTTGAGTAGATCGATTTTTTCAGACGGGTGTTTTTTTTGGAGGCTTCAATATATCACTTTCACTTTTAGACACACATCAATGATTTCGGGTAGAAATTTTCTCGTGAAAATTCCTGCTAATTTCAACAGAGCGATTCATATACGAGGGTGATCCCACAAGTACCCGGCCTGAGCTAGAGATAGCGGTAGTTGTTTGAAAAATATCACTGTATTAGAATGTTCCCCATCTAAAAAGCATATGTTTCAAGTTTGGAGACGCTGCGATGTTTAGAATTTGTTTGGCAGCCATCAATAGCGAACATTTTCGGTGAATTTGTGAAAATGGAAATTAATTGTTCATCGTTCATTTGAAAGGCCCCAGCCCAACCAATATAAAAGTTGAACTGGATTCTACTATGGGTGAGTCTGCTCCTTCGTATACAACAGTAAAATATTGGGTAGCAGAGTTTAAACGTGGCCGTACGAGCTGCCAAGACGAGTATCGCAGTGGTCGACCAAGTGAGGTGACGACTCCACAAACGGTGAAGAAAATTCACAAAGCGGTACTGAATGATTGTTGACTGCAAGTGCGCGAGCTAGCAGACTTAGTAGGCATTTCAAAAAGTGTGGTACGTCGTACATTATCTGAAAATTTGGGCAAATTATCTCACACTCGAGCCATAGTAAAAATCAACCAGTAATTCCACTCCCACTACTTTCTTTCATAAATTCACAAAGTTCTCGGTGACCTCAAACGAAGTGCGGAGCCAATTTCGTTCTTTTACCATAAACGTGCGCTCATATAAAAACGAAATTTAAGGTTAATGTAGAATATTTTGTGGTAAATTACTTATAACCAACTACAAAAACTAAAAACAATAATAACAACAGCGAATAAACTAAACACAATATCAATTTCCGACCGTTTATTATAACTAATCCGATGCCCGTGGTAGCGTCGAATCCTTCGATACTACAGCACTGAACGCGTTGGATGAGAATCTCATCTTGAGAGCAGTTGAAGGTCCCCGGCAACTCGGGCAGATCACGTGGTAAGAAGCCTTCTTACTGGTTTTATTATTCTACTATGCTCGAGCAAACACAATTTCGTGAAGATGTTTCAATTGAGCGTTTGGCGAAGTTTCACAGCAACAAAGCAGAATTCTTGCGTCGTTTCATAAGCATGGATGGAACATGGGTCCATTACTTTACACCCGAGATAAAAGAACAATCAAAACAGTGGACTCAAAAGAAAGAACCGGCATTGGTTTTTGGGATACTTTTCATTGATTGTCTTAAAAAAGGTAAAACTATCTATCAACGGCGAGTATTACGCGAACTTATTGTAACGTTTGAGTGAAGAAATAAAGCAAAAACGGCCGCAGTTGACTGAGAAAAAAGTGTTGTTTCATCAAGACAATGCAACAGTTCACAAATTCATTATCGCAATTACCATAATTACCGAATTCAAATCGAATAGCTACTTCATGCACCCCATTCACCAGATTCAGCAGATCCGGATTATTTTCTGTTCTCAAACTAGAAAAAAATGGCTCGGTGGTCAAAGATTTTCCAACGATGAAGAAGTGATGCCGGCAGTCAATGGCTTTATTAGGAACAAGACAGTTCTTATTATAAAAGCGGTATCGAACTTATTGAACAATACTGGAAAAAGTGCATAAGAGCTGCAAGGAGCCAAAATTTTTGTGTTTTCCTTGTTGGGACGGGTACTTTTGGGACTACCCTCGTAAAGATAAACAATGGATCGTTTGGAATGCATCCAAAAATCTAGTGTTATGTACCGATCCCAATAGTTTCAGGTTTTATTTATTTAATATTTGTTCTCCAAGGCGTGTACTAGACTTTTCCCGTCTCTGAAATCGGATGTGCTAATGAGTGAATTTTTTTGCTGGTTTTTTTTGGCAACACTGTTTTTGACAGATCACGCTTGAATCGTGTCTTGTGTCATTGTCAAACTTGTTCAGTTTGGTCTATAATTTAACCATGAATCGACTTACGAATGAACAAAGCTTGCAAACTATTGGATTTTATTATCAGAATTCATGCTCGGTGAAGAAAGTGCATCGTGAATTTCTTCCAATTTATGGGCAGTTTCGTCGGCCTACTGAGGGAGCTATTCAGAAGCTTGTGACTAAATTTCGAACCCAGTTTACATTATTAGACATTAAATCACCAACACGCGTACGTGATTTGACGCCTTTGGATTATTTCTTGTGGTGTCATGTTAAGGCTCATGTCTACAGGGATAAACCAGCAACGACTGACGCTCTGGAAGCCAATATTGAAGCATTTCTACGCGAAATATCGGTCGATATGTTACGCTAGTTGCACACACACCGATTTTGGACGGCCAGTATAAAATCGGCCGATATTTTATTGGTAGCGGGCGCTTGCACACTCACCGAATTCTTATAGGTCAAACAATCAGTTGCTTTGTTGTCGTAATTAGCACGCACTACCAAAACGAAGTTAATGCGTAGTAACTACAATTTCATCGAGCATTCGAGACTGGAATGGTCGGTAAAAAACCGGTGAGTATGCAAGCGTGTATTTAATCATGTACGCCACTACTTCCCGGTACTTCCGGCGATACAGTGGCAGTGGACGGCTGCTCACCGGTATTTTACCGGCGACGATCACCGGTAGGCATGTGTGCAAGGTCCCATTCCCACATGTGGTTCACTATTGGAATTTGGACGACCGGTACAAAGTCGGCCGTCCAAAATCGGTGTGTGTGCAACTAGCGTTACGCTAGTTGCACACACGCCGACCGGTGATCGTCGCCGATAAAATACCGGTGAGCAGCCGTCCACTGCTACTGTATCGCCGGCAGTACCGGGAAGTAGTGGCGTACATGACTAAATACACTCTTGCATACTCACCGGTTTTTTACCGACCGTTCCAGTCTCGAATGCTCAGTGAAATTGTAGTTACTACGCATTAACTTCGTGCGGGTGCAAGCACCCGCTACCAATAAAATATCGGCCGATTTTATACTGACCGTCCAAAATCGGTGTGTGTGCAACTAGCGTTAGAGAGAGTGTGGCAAAATTGGACCTTGCGCATGGGCCATGTAAAGCGGAGCGGCGGACATTTGCATGAAATCATCCTCAAACATTAAATTATATTGATCGTTCCATCAATTCCAATAAAGATTTCATCAATTTTTTGTGTTGTTTTGAAAATCAAACATCTTAACAAATCACCTGTATTCGATGGTCTATTAGACGTATCTAGAGAACAAAAAAAGATGAGAGTTTCAAATTTTGGCTACCGATGTAGATGGCTGTGATCTATCGTTTGAAAATATTTTCATCGCGGCGTTGTTGCCACATCTACATGTAACAGACACCAACTTGGAAATTTCAAATGGAACACTCTATATATTATATCATTTTTGAATTATGCATCAAAATCCAAGTTACTTTTGTGAACCATGTTCTGTACCTATCTCTCACCGTTTTTAAAATAATAATCATTTTGTAATATTTTTTGGCAAAAACATCAGTTAATTCATGCGATATTAAATATTAAAAATACCATGTTTTTGCCAAAAAACAATTACAAAATGATTATTATTTTAACAATGGTGAGAGATAGGTATAGAACATGGTCCTCAAAAGTAACTTGGATTTTGATGCAGAATTGAAAAATGATATAATATATAGGGTGTTCCATTTGAAATTTCCAAGTTGATGTCTGTTACATGTGGATGTGGCAACAGCGCGCCAATGAAAATATTTTCAAACGATAGGTCACAGCTATCTACATCGGTAACCAAAATTTGAAACTCTCATCTTTTTTTGTTCTTTAGATACGAGTTGATGACTCGTTTTGATTTGTTTGAAGGTGATTGACAATGTTTCATGATGAATTTCACTAGTTCGGACTTCCATTGTCTACTATATAAAATGATTTGAAATCCCTGAAACAACTAAAAAAGAAGAATTAAAAATGAATAGCTGAAAATAACAATTATATTAAGCAAAATAAACCTGAAATGAGATAATACGAAGGAAGGTCTCGAGAAGGAATTAGAAATCATCAAAAATGATCTTCAACGGAATGGCTACTCCAAAGCGGTGGTAGAAAAGACTTTGGCTAAAAGACAGCAGGAGCCTCGCAAGGAAGAGAAGCCGTCACAACTAGTGCTTGCACTTCACTACATCAGAGGATTATCGTACAACATCAGAACCTGCTTCAGATCCGGTAACACTATCCGTAGCAGCCTCACGAAATCCAGGCACCAAACGCGGACTGCGATTCCAAGAATGGCATTTACCGGATACCCTGTGAGTTCGGAAAATCCTATATTGGTGAAACTAAGAGGCCATTGAATGTTCGCCTTGCCGAGCACAAGAAACACACACAGCGAGGGGAAACCAGCAAATCAAGAATAGCAGACCATGTTTGGACCCATCAACACAACATTGAGTGGTCCCAAGCTGAAATCTTGCACAGAGAGGAACATTGGTTTAGGAGAAAATTCAAGGAAGCCGCATACATGTTGTCCAACAACGTATTCAGCCAAGCCAGCGTAGAAATACGCAACATATGGAAACCCATCATCAAGCGAAAAATGGCCAACTACCGCCAAAACGTTCATCTCCCACGGAACCAGTGAAGCGGTAAATTGAAAGCGGGGATAAGTGAAAGTACTCGAACGACCTATAAATAGTCATCTCTCGGAGGAATCAGTCCAGTCATCACCCGAAGACGATTGTAGATACTTACAATCGAAACGTCGTGAACTAACGTGACTTGGAATCTCTCCACTTTTTATTTTTATTTTCTTTTTTCATTTCTTTATTTATATTTATTCAATTGTTCTATTTTTACTTGTATTTTATTTCACTATTATCTCATTTCAGGT